AGAACATTACATTTTATAGGTTGATGATTCTTAGACTTTGTTGATACTATTGGTTTACATTGGTTAAATGATAGTGAAATAATAGCATTTTTAAAAAGTGTAGCTGGAAATGAGTTTGAATAAAATGTATTTCATTCATTTATATGTAAATGACATTCAAAGAAGGATAATTCCATAGAGTTTCCCTTCATTGAACAGACTGAAAATCAGGTACCAGATTGTTTGAAAATGGAGAGAGGGAGTAAAACTTGTTTTATCTGTATGTTTTCAAATATTTTATTTATTTATTAGAAACCATTCAAAGAGAATAAGTGACAGACAGACATAAATCTTCTGTTCACTAACTCCTAAAATGCATGTAATAGCTGTAGCTAGGCTAGGCCAAAGCCACAAGCTAATAAATCAATGCAAATATGTTATATGCTACACGGGTGTCAGGAACCCAACTATTTGAACCATCACCACTGCCTCCCTGAGTAGGCATGGGACAGAAGCTGGAATTAGCTGTGGAGCCAGGGCTTGAACCCGGGCACCGCAATATGGGATGCAGGTGTACTAAGCGACATCTTAATTGTATGCCAAACAACCAGCCCTGTTCATCTATATTTTCTTAATGTTCATGGTGATAATAGCTGACATATTGAATTCATGTGCAGTTCTTAGAAAATTTATAATTAAAATATGATATTTTAGTCAGTGGTTTATGCAATTAATTTATCAAAGGTGTGAAAGATACAAAATAAAAAAACATCACAATGCCAATCTTGGAGGTTATTTTCCAAGTATTTTATGGAAATAACATAAAAGGTACATTTTTGAGCACCTGTTGCACAGCGGTTACTTTACACACGTTATCTTGCTGTGTCCCCAGGGCAATGCTGTGAAGTTGGGGATACTATTTCAACTACATATGGGTGGACTAACAGGCTCAAAGAAATTAAGTAATGATTCTGAGATCACAGGAGAAAGTGGCAAACCTAGTTTTGAATATATATCTCTCTGACTCAAAAGCATAGGCAACTATGATGACACAGTAGGCCTAGATCATCCACAGATGATGTCAAGTGTGTGGCTTCCTGCCTTTAAGTGCTGCTCTTAGGAGAAACTCAGGTAATTCCCTATGGATATGGGACAGGTGGGCATGGGAGGACCCATCTTTAGCCAAGACCTAGTCCTTGTCTAATTTTACGTCATTGATGCCAATCCAGAAATGGCTTATCCCAGCCCTGAGGTTGAGTCTTTCGAAATATTTATTCTGTGGTAGGTGTTTGGAGTAGCAGTTAAGATGTCCCTTCAGTTGCCTGCGTCTCACATCAGGGTGCCTGAGTTTGAGTCTGGAGTCTGGACTTCATTCCCGCGTCCAACATTCCTGCTAATGCACACACTGGGAGGCCACAGGTGCTGGTTCAATTAGCTGGGTCCTTCCATCCATGTATGGGACCACAAATGAGTTCACTGCTCTTGACTCTGATGTTGCACAGCCTGGGCTGTTTTAGATATTTGGGGGAGTGAATTAGTACATGCAAAAACTCTCCCTCCATCTCCCTCTCTCTCCCTCTGCTCTTAAGCAAATAAAAATATTTCTTAAGAAAAATGAAAAAATTATTCCCTCAATGCTACCTTAGGACCACCTAGCAAAAACTTTAGGGTAAATTCCTTAATTCATAAAAATAAAGTAGTCCAACTAGTGGCAACGAAGGCCAGGAAAGCAATGTGAATTGCCCACAAGAAACACAGTTAACTGGGTTGCCATTTCTACATTTGTGGGTAGACTCAGAGCTAATAATAAAAGACACTAAATGTTTTATTTGGATGATTGAATTCACTATATATTATATTATCTTATTCCTAACAAGGATCACATCTACTTTAAATATTTAAAATTTGCTTTCAGTTAGAGTTTAGAATTAACCAAAGACTTGAATTTTAATTGCAAAGAAGTAGAAATATTTTAATAGTAGAAAGTGAAATATCTTCCAAAAATAATTCAATATTTAATAGGACATTTTATAATTCTAGTATAAAGATGTAGAAATACTGTTGTACTGTGGGTTGATTTCTGAATACGGATGATGGTGCTGGTTTGGAGGGTTGTAGGGGTAGAATATTTGGGTAATGAGTAGCTGCACTCATTATTGAATCTAGCAAGTTAGTTCTGATAGTCTTTTTGCCAGTTTTTTTATTTGTTACTTCAAGGAGACAATCACACCAACAGCTACTCATATCAACTGTTGGCAGCAATCAATTGGTATACATTGTTTGGCATCTGGGGTGATTGTGGCCATAGGAATTTTTAAATAGAATGTCCATGCATAGTAGAGCTTCTGTACAACATTATCCAACCCAAGCAAGTCAGGTGTGTCTTAAGTACAATGGGCCTTGCTTATTCATGTATTTTGGAAATGTCAACTTAACCAAACGTGAATCAAAAATATTTGGTAAAACTTGCATCTGTACTAAATATGTACTGATGTTCCTCTTGTCACTATTCCCTGAACAATATAGTATACCTGTTATTTAGGCTGCATTTGCAGTTAGGCATTGTAAGTAGTTTAGAGATGGCTTAAAGCATAAGGAAGGATGCGTGTGTGTCTTATATAAGGGACTTGAGCAGGTACAGCTTCGGTACACGAATGGGTTCTGAAACCACTGCCCCAGGACACTGAGGGAGACTGTAACGTGTCTGCGTGCAGGAAAACATTCGTTCCAGCTTGTCCATCTCCTTGCTTGAAATCTGGGTGGAATAACTCAGAGCCTTTAGAGCTTTGTGTATTTTTGTGCATAATAGAGAATTAGTTTAGACAATAAGTGAAGTTTTCTTTGTCTGATTTTTCTTTCCGTTCTCCAAGACAGAGAGGCCCAACCACATCTACAGGAAATTTCAAGCAAAACGAGTACAGAGCTTTTTGTCTCTATAGCACAGTTTCTTAATTTTTTTCCTGAGATATAGCATGTCTAGCTCTCAAACACCTTTAAAATGTAAATTTGCACTTTTAGATGATATATGAATTGTTGTGATCTATTTTTATAGAAAATTCTGCAAATTAGACATCCTTATAAAAAGATGCTGCATTTTAATTCATCTCTTTGCTAGGTGGCAGGATGTGCACACCCTCATGCAAGTGTATTACAGTATTCAAAGCCTTGCTAGAAATTCTCTTTTGTAATCATATCTCATGCTGTGGCACATTTTTAAAACATTTCATAGTATCAAACCTTAATATTTTGAGAATTCACTTTGAGAATGAATGTAGTATTGAAAACAATCAAGTACTTTAGACTTAAACCTGCTATGTGAAATAGAATGACACAATTTAAAAACATGTATTAATTAGAAATATGTATTTGATGTGTTCAATAACACTGATGGAACCAAATTACATAAAATAAGCATTAGAATTAGGAAAGTTGGTCCAACCTCTTAATCCTGTTGTTACAATAATTATTATTAGCAGTACTTCTCAAAAAGAGTTTTTATGACAAATTGTATGATTACTCCAATAAGTAAAAGGAGAGAGAGAGAGAGTAATTCAGCAATTGTCAGTCACTTTTTCTCTCAGTGACAGCACTGGACAGTGATGAGATTCTTCTGAACCTGAGGCCATGCTGTCTCCTTGCCAGTCACCTTTACCCTACTGAGATCCTGCAAATCAGGAGAAGAAGTGGCCATGGTAGCAGAATCGACAGAACACAAGGTGGGCTCCCTCAAGGTTCACTCTTCTGATTTAACCTCATCCCTTTCACCAGCAGATAGCCTCCTGCTGCCATGGTTAATGCGGGAGCAAGCTTGTTCCATCTCTTTTTCAACCCCTATTTGGTGAAGAATCGGAATGTGTTTTTCTCCTGGAGAGCATTCTTAACCACCAGTTGACCCTTGGAGATCTTAATTTGAATGAAATAATTTTGAGTTAATCCTTTCACTGCGGCAAGTTCTCTCCCACCCTTTACCAGGATCTCCGTGATGCCCACCATAATTTTCCATCCCTGTCATAAGTTTTAGTTCATTTGTGCTGCTATAGTAAAGTACTACAGACTGAGTCACTTAAGAAACAAGACATTCGCTTCCATCAGTTATGGAGGTGGGGAAGCCCAAAATCAAGGTCCTGGAAGATTTCGTACCTGATTCTTGGGTCGTAGATGCACGTTCTGGCCATGTTCTGCCATGGTGGAAGGGGCAGCACAGCTCTCTGGGGACATTCTTGAGGACACTAATCCTTTTGAAAGGATTTATAGGAGGAACCCCTCATTTCCACTTCCTAGTGGCCCTGCAGCCTAGTGTCATCACATTGATGAATAGGATTCAACATATGATTTTGGGGACATACATTCACAGCATACTGCATATCTAAATCGATCTGTTCAAAAAATCTTTGTCTTTCCTCTATTCCTTTAGAATTCTTCCCTGTACTGTGAGACATAAATGAAACTTTAAGGGTTAAAAATTGAGTGGGAATAGGAAAGGAGAATGAAAGGTGGGAGTGCCGGTGGGATGGAGGGTAGGGTTGGAAGAGTCACTGTGTTCCTGAATTTGTGTATATAAATACATGGAATTTGTATACCTTAAATAAAAGGATGGAAAATGAAATAAAAAAAAATAAACTTTAGGGGTTACACAGTAATGTGTTAACCCAACCTAATGGCTTCTTGGTACCTGACAGGGGAGGAGAGTTTTTCTATAGAACATACTTTTCTCTCTTTCATCAAATGCTTTCAAATATATTTGGAGCTCCTAAGAGATGTTTTTGATAAGGTAGATATTTCATCAAAGGTCCTGAATTTTTTAACAAATAAAATACAAATCTGCCCATGAAAAATATTTTTGTATCAATTGCTTTCCAACAGGAAGTATATAAAAATCATTATGGTGCTCTAGTTTAAACTTTAGCGCTTTTCTCACTTAAAATAGACTTATTTATATTCTTATATATACAGAGACTCTTAAAAACACTCTCAAAGTGAGCATTTAGCCACATGGTTAAAATATCCATGTCCCCTATCAAAGTACCTAGGTTTGATTCCTGGCTCCAGCACTGATTCCAGCTTCAGGTCAATAGAGACCCCAGGAGGCAGGGATCATGGCTTAAGCAACTGGGTTCCTACCACCCACATAAGAAACCTGGATTGTGTTCCCAACTCTTGGTTTTAGACCTTGCTCAGCTCTGGATATTTCAGGTATTTGGGGATGAACCAGCAGCCAGAAATGTGTGCTTGCTCGGTCTCTCCCTCTCTCTCTCTCTCTCTGCCTTTCAAATAAAAAAAATAAAATAAAGAAATGGAAAGAAATGGCAACACTCCCTTAACCAAAAACTCAGAATGTTTGCTATCCCTGTTTTTTTTTTTGTCATTTTTCTATTAAATCTGCATAAATATAGTAGATCTATACTTGTTGTTTAGGTAACTTAAATTATTAGGAAAAAACTATCTCATTCTTTTGCAGTTTTACCTAATTAAATTAGACTTCATTGCACATTTATCTGTTTATGAAATAACAGGGTGTATTTTCCACTACAGAATGCTGGAAGTAATGAGATGGCATTACTTGCAGATAATTAATCCTTGCATTCTTTATAAATAGTAGCAGTAACACCATGAGTCTTGGCATTTCTAGGTAGCAAAACATCCTTTAAAATGGCATTGGTTACCTTAGTACTGATAGTGACAGCTGTTTTCCCTGCAGCCAACAATTAAATGTTGACTGACAGTTTATTTGGGAAGCTGGACGTTCCTGCATCTCTGATGCCTTTTCTGGTTCTGCTTTCCCCTTTGCTTGTAGTAAATGACTCATCATTGCCAGTCAAGTGAATTCCAGCCTTGTTCCTCCCTGGATTTCTTCTTCCTGTCTTCATTAGGAATCAGTTGTGATAAACAGGCTGGCTTTGTTATTCCATGGAGTATACTGACTGTGACGGTGACGGCACACATGAAAGCATCTATCCACACTTGCCTTTGACTGTGCAGCATTTGTTTACACCTGCTTCATTTTTATGTCTTGGTTTTACATCCACTTCAGTACTTTACTTTCTATTACAGCTTCTAGGTGTCAGGCTGTGCAATGGGAGAACAGACAGACAGACAGACAGACAAATAGCACACCAGCTTTGGGAACACTGGGGACGTGGATGCAAATCGTGGTATCCTGGAGGAAGCGACTTAAACTCCAGTTTACTCAGTTTCCTCTTCTGTAAACTTGAGATAATGACGTCTGTTCTGATTGTTCAAGATATGCAACGAGATCAAGAAAGTACAGCATTTCTTTCCTCTTTTGGGGAGCAATTAAAAGGGTAAAATGGCAGCAAGCAAAGTAAACTCATTTCTATTTTCTCATTTATTTACCAAACCTGTACACTGTTCTAAACACTTTACAAATATTAAGGTATTTAATTCTCATAACTCCCATCAACATAGGTCCTAATAGTTCCCTCCTATTTACACTTGAGAAAACTGGGCCTCTTAACGGTCAGGTATCTTACTGGAGACCATGCAGCTGGCAGTGGTTCAAGGTGGGATTTGAGAGAGGTCTGGTTATGGAGCCCATGCTCCTGACCTCACCACACCTGCTCTGCTATATAGCCCTCTCTTCTCTGCTTAAGAAAGCAGGGTCTAAGCAGACAGCTTTCTTATCTGGAGAGTTGTCCGTGGGTGCTGCCTTGGTGCCTGGACGTTTCTTTGGCTCTCTTCTCTGCTTCCTCTGCCTGCCATTCCACCACATATTGGCCCTTTCACCAGGAACAGATCCATCCTTTGTGGCAGGTGTGGTGAGTGACAAAGTGAGGGCTTTCAGTGCTGGAGAAAGTGATTTTTGTCCTCCAGGGAGGGCTCAACCATTAAAGATATTTTCATGCTTCTGTTACAGCAATACCCCTTAGTGGCCTGAAAAGAGAGAATTTATTCATTTCTACACAGATACTCTGAAAGTAGGTCTGACATCTTCTATAATTATCGTTGTTTCCCATGAATGTCTAATGGATTCCAATGTTATCAGCATGGTAACATCAAAGATGCATTTGTGGTCTGGCCCTATGCTTACCCTATTGAAATGCTTAGAAAAACCATTTAGTATTTAATTTAAAAGCCATCCCTTTCTATTTTACCAAATATGCAGATGACCTAATTTTTCAGAAAAAAAAAATCATCCTTTGCACTGGCCTTTTAAAAGCATTAGCACAACTGTCTTTGTTAGCAGTGTTTTTTGGATGCTGTTAGTAACATTTCCGGCTCCATGGGGTTATGATGAAAATCAGATGTCAGCTCTACTGTGCAAATGAGGAAGAGACAATTAAAGAGGGTGATTATCGTAGGACAGAAATGTCAAGGAAATGCCACCTCAAATATCCCCATTCTGCACAGATTATAGGTAAATGGAAAACTGCATTAGCAAGACAGAGACAGCAAGAGAATTTAGCTTTGAAAATGCAAGTCTGTTAAAAGAAATTTGCCTATTGCAGCTGAACTGTTGTACTAAACATAGTTATTTGAAATCATCAAAAAGCACCCCAATTTTTTCTTAGTCTGTTTATGTTCCTTTTTTTTTTTTTTTTTTGGAAGAGGCATTAGTGGAGGATTAATCACTGAGACTTAGAAAGATGAAGTAATTTTTGCAAAAGCTGGCTTGGCTGATTTTTCCTCTCAAATGGAAATTTCAGTTCACTAGCATTTTCTTTCCTGTTGAGAAAATTACATTCTAGTTTTCTCACTTGGGGAATGGGGTTGTTTTCTATCATGAACTTTCAAGTTAGCTGATATTTAACTGCTCTTGTGATTTATTAAGCATGTAAGTTTAAAAATCGAAACTTGAATTACATAAAATGAGAATTTATTGGTTCACAAAATTATGAAGTCTAGCCATGACACAATTGTTTTATACAATGCTGGATACTATTTCTCATTTTTACCAATCTGCCTTCTGTGATGTTGGCTCTGCCCCAAGACTCCCTTAGCTTCCATTTGCAAGATTATTAACAAAAGCTCCTGGGGTCACCTGCCCTCTGTAGCAGCTCAGAGAGAGGGTAACATTGTTTATAAAAGGGAAAACAGAAGCAAGAAATTTCTGAGGTCTTTCTTTGATTGGGTCGTTTTAGATCATTTGCCGACTATGGACAGGGAGCTATTGATTTAGGTTCAGATAAGAAGTCCATCATGGACTCTCAGACAAATTTGGAATGGATCTGCCAATATTCATGGCTACTTTACAGTGGCTAAGAGGGAAAGGTGAACAGGAAACAACTATTTTGTTCACTGCAAGTAGAAAATGGCTGTGTTTCAAAACAGTACCTTTTATTTGTAACCAGGCAAATCTGACTATGGCAGAAGTCAGGAGAGTGGTTAATTTTAGAGAGGAAATTAGCAGTGCCCAGATATGGGAAGTGAGGGGTTTTCATGGGTGTTGTCAATGATAAAGTTGCTAATTACATACATGTGTTCACCTTCTGAAAAATTACCAAAGCTATAGATTTCTGATTTATAAACCTTTCCATATCATTATGTTTCCATAGGTATACTAAATATAGAACTTGACTAAGAAATAAAATGTGTTAACATTACTTGTGTAATTTACATTGTTGTAAATTTATTTACAAAATGATGATATCCAAAGTTCTAAAACTGTGTACTTAGGTATCCCACGGCGAGCTCTTCCTGATTCCATGGGCTATTTTAAACATTGGAGGAAGCACAGAGGTCCACAGCAGCCACCAGCCACTGTGTAAATGATTAGCCTGGAGTAATGGATAGCTTTTATATGAGATCAGGCTCTGCTCTCTTCAGCTTTACCATTGTCTTTGCAACCTGTTTTCATTGTTGTTGGTGTTGTGTTTCCTTTTGTTGTTGTTGTTTGGACAATTAATATGATAAACACAAGTACTACATAAAAAATAAAAGAGTAGGAAATAAGGATAGCGTATTATACAATTTAATTCTAAGGTATAAGAAGTTGTACAGTGTCCAGTAGGAGTGTACATCCAATTAGTAATTATGCCTATTGAAGAATGAAATAAAAACATTATTGTATTGATTTTTTTCAGTAGGCGGCTCCATTGTTAGACAATCAATGCTTATTAAGTTGCTTCAGCATAATTGTTTCATAAATGCAACTTGTTTGTATTCCTTTTGGCCTAGAGTGTGATGAAAAAAAGAACTATTAAAATACTTAGAGTAGTAGGAATTAAGTTTGGTACTCACTGATTCCACTTTTTCTGGACTGTTTAACTTCTGTACAATCAGAAGAGCAGATTAGTGAACTAAAAACAGTCAGCGGTGTGTTGTGCAGTTCTCCACCTCCTAAAGCACGGCATATTTAATAGATGAGACCTGATATTTCATTTATCCTGGGTCAGTGTTCTGAGCATCAGTAATCTCTCTGGTCATTGCAGCCGATTGTTTAGAGTTCCAGATGTTTCACCACAGAACTCAGCTGTACATGGCTGGCCTAGGGCCAACGTGTGGCTCAGTGGGGCTGCGGACTTGGATATATTTTTGGCTCATATTAGCAGGGCTTTTTTTTTTTTTGTATTTTTTGTTTGTTTTTTTTTTTTTACTTTGTTTAACTGGCTTTTTCTTTCTCTTGCTAGAAAAACTTAATACAGGAGCAAAAGGGTCATGTGATTTAGAAAGCCTGGGTTAGGATTCTGATTCTAATGCTACTATTTTTATTTTAGTAAATTACTTCCCTGAAACTCTATTTCCTGATGGTTTAAAGAGCCAAGAGGCTCCTGAGGCCGGCGCCGCGGCTCACTAGGCTAATCCTCCGCCTTGCGGCGCCGGCACACCGGGTTCTAGTCCCGGTCAGGGCGCCGGATTCTGTCCCGGTTGCCCCTCTTCCAGGCCAGCCCTCTGCTGTGGCCAGGGAGTGCAGTGGAGGATGGCCCAGGTGCTTGGGCCCTGCACCGGCATGGGAGACCAGGAAAAGCACCTGGCTCCTGGCTCCTGCCATCGGATCAGCGCGGTGCGCCGGCCGCAGCGCGCTGGCCGTGGCGGCCATTGGAGGGTGAACCAACGGCAAAGGAAGACCTTTCTCTCTGTCTCTCTCTCTCACTGTCCACTCTGCCTGTCAAAAAAAAAAAAAAAAAAAAGAGCCAAGAGGCTCCTGATTGAGTATGGAAGCCTGCGTGTATCCTGGCGTGTGACAGCCCTTTCAGAACTGTCAATTGTCAATTCAAACACTCATGATTTGGCTACTGTGTGCCTCATCCATGCTCAATCCCGTGGCGACCAGAACCATGGTAAAGACGCAGCTCTGAAACCGAGAAGTCAAAACACATAGTAGAAGGAGTTGGGCTGTCATTCACTAGGGAAGGCAGGAAGTAGAGGATGTTCAATGAGGTTGAAAGTGTAGAGAACAGAGAACAAAGAATTGTTCCTGTATGAAGGGAATGTGGACTACTTTGGGAGGAACTGACAGTTGTTATGGGTTTTCGGGCGTGAGCGTGTCTCCCAGGCATTTGCTGGAGGAAAGGACTTAGCGATGATTCTCAGCTGGGGGAAAGGGGCTGGAGAAGGCTACCCAGGCACCTGGGAAGCTGCTGAAGGAAGCTGCAGTCCAGACAGAGACAGGGCAGTGAACAGAGTAAGTTAGGATGAGGCTGGAAATACAGCTGGGGCAATGCTAAATTACCCGTTAATGTTCTCTTAAGGTTGGGCTTAATTCTCTACTTGGGGATTTGGAGCACAGCCTGCAAAGCCTTTAGTAGTCATGTAAACACCCAGTAAGGGCAGGTAGGAAGCAAGGGACACACCATTAAATGCGCCTCTATCTTCTCTCATCCTTTTCTGCTCGTTTTCTCTATCTCTGTCAATATCCACCCCCTACACCCTGCTCCGTGTTTAAGCTAGTTTCTCTACCAGTCACATGTTTATCGATTTGACCTCAAGTGGTTTTGCTTCTTTATCCATCACACTCAATGAGAAATCTGTCACTTCTCATCTGCATCTGGGCGTCCATTCATTTAGCAACACCTTACTGAATGTCTACATGATTTATTATTTGCATCTTGGACTTTATGTGCATTATCAAAAGATGTTTTTCCTATTAATGGCTGAAAACCAATTTTTGACACTGCTACTGGGATTGGCTTTTGGGAATAAAGTCCCAGATAGCCATGCAGGGTCTGGGAGTCACAGCTGGGTTAAGGATGCATCTATGGAACATCATGGGAATGGAGGACCCTGGAGGTGCTCAAATTGAGATGGCTTCAGATACTGTAATAAGCTGATTTACACGAAAAACATTGTTATGCAGCACTGTAGTTTTATATAGGGATGGTTCAGCCATTAAAGCTGGTTTATATTAATATAAGCTAGTCATAAAGCTGATTTAAATGCTTGGTGTATTTTATTGCAATCTAATATGAAAGTCCCATCTCTGCCACTAAGTATCTATGTGACCTTGAACAAATTACTTCACCTCTCTGAGCCTAAGCATCCTCATCTAAGACGGATAACATAATACCTGACTCTGAGAGCTGTTTTGGAGTTTGGAAACTCTACATGAGTTCTAAAAGCATGCCATGGTGGGCCATCAGATGGTAGCTCTTCTACGACTTTGAGAATTTCCCAGGAACTCACTTATTCCTCTGTTCTTTCTTTGCTGAATAGTTGATGTTGCAAAAAATCAGAATGGATCAGTAAGACACAAAGTGTTTACTAATTAGGCTTAGGTTTGTCAATATAATAGCAATTGGTGATTGTAATAAAAAATGTTGGGTGCGATTTTTACTCTAATAAGTAAAAATAAAAATCCAGATCATCAGGGAACTATCTACAGAAGCAAGTATAACTGCCACTAGCTACTGCACTAAGCAATAGCCACACACATAAGAGGGGGATTTCTTTATCAAGAATAAAAGGGAAAGTAAAATAATTACAGGGCATGGGAGAAAATCTCCAAGCCCACTTACATTATGTCATAAAACATTTATCCTTGCACATGCTGTTAAAGTTTTCCTTTAAATGAATGGGCCTATTTTATTTAAAGGTCTTAGAAGGTTTCCATGACTACAACCTCTGGAGGAGAGGGTAACATTTTCAAAACATCCCTGTGTATTACTCAGTTCCTATTATGCACCAAGCAGCTGGTTCAATGTTTTATTAAGAACTTTGCACACAGAAATAGTAAAGTTTAAGTTCATTTTCTGAGGCAACTTTTCCATGGCAAAACATTCTTTCTCAGAAGCTAAATGGTATGGAACTTAAAAAAAAAAAAAACTGTTCTGATATAAAACTTGAATTTTTGTATGCTCCGTTAGGTAACCGGAGACACTTTTACTGAAAGAAACAATAGAAGCAATGTTATATAATTTCCTTAGCTAGGATCCCAGTATCTGCATGTTTGATTGACCTGCAGTGCCTCTCAGGAATGCAGCAAATTGCCAGAGAGTCTCAAAAATGCAGTTAGTCAAAGGTCCATGTGAAAGAATGAACTATGCTGTGTTCAGGTGGGATACCTCTCACACATGCACTGGGGACAGACTGAGTTGAAGAAGTGTTGCTAGAGTAATATCTGAGTGCAAGGAAGGTCTAGCTTTTCATATATCGTCTCTGTAAGATGTGACAAGTGAGCAAGCTCTGTGAGTCGCAGTTCTCTCATCTTCAGAGTATGAGCCCTCACTGGCATTCCCCAGACTTGATAGCCAGTGTGGAAAATAAGCAAAAGCTGCCCCACAGCTGTTTCTTTTGCAAAGAATTAAAAGTGGTTAAGAGAGGTGAAGAGATCATTAAAAGTAAAGGGCCATAAAACAGAGCATCCAAACTTCCCTGTTCCACGGATAATGATTGTCTGTTCCACACATGAATAATGAAAACAAAAGAGCCGTGAATGTGCCCTTTGACAGCACTTTCTGTCTGGATGGGAGTGTATTGTAGGCACTAGGACAGTGAGCCCTACCCCTGCTTCTACCCCAGTCATCACCACTCAGTGTCTCAGCAAAGGAGGATTCCTTACTTTTTTCCTAAGTGCCTAATTGGATATTGCTTTTGTATTCAAAGCAGTGAATTTCTCATATAAAATCCAATACAAGTCCAAACTTAAAATAGGTATAAGTATGCCAATTTTGAGTTTAATTCGGGGTAACCATTAGACAGTCATCTGAACATAGTGTGTGTAGTGACTTGACAAATAAGGAGCGAGGGCCATCAGCCTATTGTGTAGGAGTCTACAGATTACTCACTTGATGCTCATCCCTTCACTGAATTGAAATACAGTGTTTAGAAGGTACTCTGAACCTTCAAAGTCAGAGGTATTTTGGATTTCCCTGCGACCATCCAAATGAAGATACTCAGAAACACTAGACTGTACCCTTTCTTATCCTTCAATTCAAAGTCACACTGAGATAAAGTTGTCCGGTTATGGATGAAGTTACCGACACTTTGCGAATAGCATCTGTGAGGTAAGTATCGGGAAAGGTGGTTATGAAGAGCCAGATGGTATACTAGCTCGCAAGGAGGATCTGGGAGTGTCTCCTAGACCTGCAGCCCAATGACCTGTTTTCCTCTACCTTCGCCTTCCATGGGGGTCCTCTTGCATTTCCATAAGTGAATTCTGTGCTGTTATCAGACTCTATGGGTATCTTCTTGCCTGTAGAACAGAGGGATCCTAGCATGAAATTGTGGATGGAAAGCAACCTGGTTATAAAAGTCCAACTTTGTTCAAGCACCTCTGATCTGCTTCTAAACTCCCACCTCATTCAGCTCAGACAATGCCCGGATCAGAACAGTCTGTTAATGGATGAATAATTAAACAATACATGAGACAGAAGATAAGGGGGCTTAGGAAAAACTTGGTTTAGGAGCAGTACTATCCATGTTGGCACTAGGATATTCCTAAACATAAAATCCTAGAAATTTTGAGCAGTGAGCCCTTCCTAAATATTTTCTTTTTTGGAATTAAAAAAACTGTGCTGTTTCCAATGACTATTATAGAAAAGCAAGATTTTGTACAACCAACAGTTAAAATATTATTGTTTGGTGAGTTGTAAAAAAAATCAAATAATTTTTGTATTTCTTGTCAGATTTACAACAGCATGGATAATAAATTAGACATAGCTATTACATCACTGCTTCACCTTTATTCATTTACATTAATTTATCTTCATTTCTGAGACAAAATTTATATACTTATTGCTACACTTTCCCTTATTTGAGTAACAGAGATTGGTTGTAGAATGTAATCAATTATGGTTTCTGTTCCAAGTCATCAATCTTAATAAAATGCAGACAGTCATTTGAAAAATTATCTTCAGGAGTTGGCAGAGAGCAATACATTCACAGTCTGATCATTGGCCCTGTGACTCATTTTCATTCCAGCCATAGGTGAGATTCCAATTCAACATGTGCTCAAGTATCACCCCTTTCTATCCCAACAGCATTCGTGTATCTGATTTTCCTCCTCATTACCAGCAAGGATTGTTGCAATTTTTTAAATGTGTCTGTGGCATGCAATAGACTGGGTGGACAACTCCAGGGAGATGCAAATACGTCACGAGCAAGGACAGGGTCCCTGCCCACAAACACCGTTCAGAATCAAAGCCCTGGTGAAACACTGGTACATGAAAACTGTAGATGTAAGGTATTGAAAGAAGCAACCTGGGATTAGAAGAGGCTATAAAAGGAGAAGCTTTACAGGACAGATTTACTTACTTTTGTCTTTATACATTTGCATTATTTTTCTTGTAAACTGTGTGCATTATTCCTGAGAAAGTTCCTCCCTTCCAGCATAAATGTTCTCACTACATGACCTTGAAATAATCATGCTTCATACTGCAGAAACTGCTATTGTCACACGTTAGTGGGACAATTTTAATTTTACCATAGTCAGAAGGAAAACATGATAGTCGAGTAAATACTGAACAAGGATTCTCAAACTTAATGTGAACAAAGATATCTGAGAATGGTTAAAAATGGAAACATGGTTTAATAGAATATCCCGCTCCAAGAATTCTCATCCTTATGTAACAGAAGCTGCCCCACCCATAGGCATTCTGATGCAGTGAGTCTGGAGAGACCCTGGAAACTGCATGTTAAGGCTCCTTCTAAGTGGCCACGATGCACAAAGCCCAGGACCACACTCTGAGATGTCCACATATAGCAGGAAGTCACCAACTCCACAAAAATGCTGGTTTGGTGCTGTTTTTCAAAGTACTAAACATTATACTTTTTTTTTTTTTTTGACAGGCAGAGTGGACAGTGAGAGAGAGACAGAGAGAAAGGTCTTCCTTTGCTGTTGGTTCACCCTCCAATGGCCACCGCGGCCGGTGCACTGCGGCCGGCGCTCCATGCTGATCCGATGGCAGGAGCCAGGTACTTCTCCTGGTCTCCCATGGGGTGCAGGGCCCAAGCACCTGGGCCATCCTCCACTGCACTCCCTGGTCACAGCAGAGAGCTGGCCTGGAAGAGGGGCAACCGGGACAGAATCCAGCGCCCTGACTGGGACTAGAACCCGGTGTGCAGGTGCCGCAAGGTGGAGGATTAGCCTAGTGAGCCTCGGCGCTGGCCTGAACATTATACTTTTGAATATGTGCATGGTGTTCTTATTCAAGGACCTGGGTTATGTAGCTATTCATGTAGGTTTAAACTGACTAATCAAATTCTACCATGCCAAGAGTACTTCTCTTAGTCACTTCTTTAAGTTCTTTTTTTTTTTACCTTCTCAGGAATTGAGCTGTAATCTGCCAACTCCTAACTATTTAATGATCCTTCTGTGTTCTCTGAGGTCTGTCCTAGCAAAGCACCACAAGCCATGTGGTTTAAACAACACAAATCTATTTTCTCACAGTTCTGGACGCTGAGATGTCCAAAATCAAAACATATTGACTCTTCTGACACCAGCAGGGAGAAACCCTTCTTTTTCTCTTCCTGGGTTTTGGTGATGGCCATGGCTCTTGGCATTGCTATTATAAATCATCACCCAGATTTCTGCCTTCATCGTCACAAGGCATTTCCTTGTGTGCCTGTCTTGCTGTAACCAGAGTTCCCGTTTTCACAAGGACACCAGTCTTAGCATGTTCAAATGTTTTCATTTCAACTCAGTTACTTTGGTAAAGACCCTGTCTTCCACTCAGGTCACATTGTGCGGGAAACGAGTATAAAAATTCACTATACTTACTTGGTGGGGAGGGAACACAGGGCAGGCCATGACGATTCCTTGTCTTTAATTCTGTTGAGGATACATTTAAGCACTCAGAAGTGGTTAAATAGGAGTAAGAGAAAGATTGAGTTGTGGTTGTATTGACTGACATGTACAGAATTCTAGATGAATTATAAAATATAAAATAATATTTATATACTTATATTTACATTATTATATGTTTATAAAATATAAAATTATCAAGTTTTTTTCCCTGAGATGACACTTTCAACTGTTTTTATTTCTTTGAGCAGTATTAAGACTAGGCTGTGACAGAAGGGGAGTGGCTTAAATCTCATCCCAGGAGCTAAATAAGACTCTTAAATTGAATGCCTGTATTTTGAGAATTCTTATTTTTTCCCTTTAGAGCAGATTTACTTCTTCCTCTCCATATTTTTGTCTCTTAGGTTTTTTTTTCTGTCATGTTACTTTAAAAACCTAGCACAAAATCCTTTTTAAGAATTTGTGTTCACTCTAACATTAGATCGTGAAAAAAAAAAAAAAAAAACGTTTTACTCTCTCCTTGAACATTTGGATTGAAATAAATTTGACAATTTGTCAAAACTTGAAAGCAGATCCAGAGATCCTTAGGGGGCAGGCTCTGTGGTGCAAGGGATTAAGCCACCACTTGCAATATCAGCATCCTTATGGGCACTGGTTCAAATCCCAGATGTTCCACTTCTAATCTAGCTACACGCTGATCTCCTGTGGAAAGTAGCAGAGGATAGCCCAAGTGTGTGGACCCCTGCTGCTCATGTGGGAGACCCAGATGAAGCTTCTGGCTCCATCTAATCCTGCTAATGTGCCTGGAGAAACCACTGACATGGGAAACCTGCAGAGTTCCTGGCTCCTGGACTCCACCTGCATCAGCCCTGGTTCTTGTGGCCATTTTGAGAGTGAAACAGCAGATGGAAGATATCTATCTCTGTGTCTCCCTGTGTCTCTGTAACTCTGCATTTCAAATAGATGATTTTTTAAAAAGATAGATCTTTAGACTGTTCTGACAGTTGTTATTAATCACTTATTAATTTTTGAAAATCAAATTCAAATAAGAAATCTAAAAAATTTTTTTTTCATATTTGACTTTTGGTCCAAATTTGACAAATAAATTGCCCACAATGTGGGAAGCAGTCTGCAAAGCAGACTTCTAGAATGACTTTCCCAGTAAATAACACTCTGACCTCAGAATCAACCCATAAGGCGTCCTGGTCAGGCTGAAAGGCCTGCAAGAGCATCTCAGGCATGGAAAGACAAGACTCTGTGGGGAAAAAAAAAACCTACACGGAGGATCTCTGCGAGGCCTCAGAGGAAAGGAAGGGTCATCAAAGAAGGAGACACTCTTCTCTGAAGGGATAGGAGGACATCCTCTTTGCTTATGGCTGTGTCCAAATACCGATGGAGTCTGGTCACAAAAAGACTCCATAGCCCTGGCAGCCCACGACAAGTATCTTGGATGATCACTGACATCATAAAAAAAGAGTGTTAATTGTTAAAGGAACAACAGTAGTCACTGTGCACTTGCTCCCCAGATAGGACCTCTGTCCCTATTGAATTACAATATCAGAATTAACTGCACATTCTCTCCCCAAACTGTTCTCTGTATGTTGTGTGTGGGTGTGGGGGCAAATTGTTGATGTCTATGATTAGCACAAAGTTGGTCCTCTGTATACAAAGTCACACTAAAAATGATCCATAATGAAGAAGGAGAAGGGAGAGGGAACGAGAGGTGGAAAGGGAGCCAGGTGGGGAGCATGAGGGAAAGAACCACTGTATTGCTAAAGTTGTATCTATGTAAAAATGCATTCATTAAATAAATAAAAAAGAAGAATTGTGGAAGCATAAAAAGAAACATAAACTGTCCACAGTTGTATGTGGTGAATGATAAGACTGTGAAGGTAGCCCAGTATACCATTTCTGCAGCTAACACTGAACTGTGGAGATCCAGTTGGGAATTTTCACATGTAAAGGCTTGTGTAATGGCTCCACTCTACAGCTGAAAAGATTTGGAACAAACTGATGTGCATCAAAGCCAGAAGGAGAGCATGCTTAAAATAGAAACGAGAAACTAATAGTTACTATTGCAAGTTTCTCTATCAGGGAAAAATACACAATTATCTACATGCTGGATAAAGGGGCAAATTGGCTCATGAAGCTTGCCATGGAAAAGAATGAAAAGCGTTAAGATAGGGAGAGAAAGAAAATAGCTCTCTTTAATGGCTGGAAGACAAATGAGAATTGCAAGCAAGATGGGGCCATCTAATGGGTAATTAATTTTATTATTAATATGGTGCTTCTGGGACTTGTAGGACATGAGGCAGCCTGACTATTCTTCTGGGCTTTGAGATATTCTCTGGATGGTGACTTAGGTCATCTTCTTGATCTGTTCATGTTGCATGCTGAGATCAGGCAAGGCTCTGATTGTTTTCATTTCAGTTTTCTTGCTCTGAGAAAAAAGTGACAGGTGCAGATATATAAGGGTTGAAGTTCTCAGTGCCTTATAAAGCAAGCTGTTCTTTTTTTTAAGATGTTTATTTATTTGAGAGGCAGAGTTACAGACAGAGAGAGGTAGAGATGAAGGAAAGGTCTTCCATCTGATGGGTTCACTCCCCAAATGGCCCCAATGGCCAGAGCTGGGCTGATCCAAAGCCAGAAGCCAGGAGCTTCTTCCAGGTCTCCCACATGGGTGTAGAGGCTCAGGTGCTTGGGTCATCTTCCACTGCTGTCCAAGGCCATAGCATAGAGCTGGATCAGAAGTGGAGCAGCCTGGACTCAAACCAGCAGCTAAAAGGGGTGCCAGCACTGCAGGTGGAGGATGTATCTGCTGCTCCACAGTGCCAGTCCCAAAGCAAGCTTTATATATAGAAACAAGATGAGAGACTCAACATCTGGACTGCAAGATTAGAAAGGTATAGGGCAAGATTCTGTTAAACATCTTTCCTAGGAAGATGCTCCCATCTCATATCCAGTTTTGAGGACATTTATTAGCAAAATGAATGTGTTTTATGTCAAACAAGATATTAAAAACTCTTAAATACCCAGATTAAAAGTATCTAAAATTAAAATGTCAGTGTGATAGCACAATTTGTGCAAAGATGGGAAATCCATAATTTAATATATTTAATAAAGGAAATTAATAATGTTTTTCTAGTTATTAAATACTAGATATAAGCTTGTAAAACCAGATTTCTGATTTTTATGTCCCATCATCTTGCTGGTAGAATTGTGATTCTGGAGCAGCCATGTTGCATGATAAATTAATTAAGTCTAGATACAGATTCAGCTTTTAGCCTTATAGGTTTTTGCTGTTTTATATTTTGTCTCACCTTAAACTTTCGTTTCTTCTTGCCCTTATAACTTATCCTATTCTATTGTAAAATAGAAGTTGATAACATTTCTGCGTTATACTAAGTACTTCAGGATTACTCATAGTCACAGAAATTTTCTCTAATGCCCAATGACTAATGCAGTATCTAGAACAAAGTATATGTTCATTAAACCTTTTGGGATAACAGCAAAGAGTGAGTTTGATGATTTGTATTAACATTCTTATGCTGACCTTTAATAAGTTTATTCACACTGGAGGGTGACAGAAAATATACACAAATATACACATTCACATTATGGATCTCCTTGAAAGTCATAGTCAGGAGCACCTGCATTGTGCTACAGAAAAATGAAGGGCTGTTGACAATTTGTGATGATCAATGGACAAGGGGTGCCTGGAGGAGTACAAAGGGGCACTGACATCCCTGACCAAGAGTCCCACTGGTGCCAACATGGTGCTTGGCCCAGCTGGGAAATGGTCCTAGGTGTAGGTAGCAGGGTTGTTCACAAGGGGGCATCAGCATGGGGCAGTGAACAGGGTTGAATGGCCCCAAGGCCCTGCCCGTGAGAACCACCTTCTGCACAATGTTCAACACGGGCAACTGGATCATACCTGAAAGAATGGAGCTCAGAGGGAAACTAGGACAGTGCCGTGCAGGATGAGTTGCAACAATAGTAGCTAATAATTATACTCCTCGACCTGTGTGTGAGGGCCTGTTCCCAGCAGTTTCCATATTTTAACTTTGTCCTCCTAGCAAGTACCAGGCACTGTGTCATCACCACGTTTCAGGTGAGGACATTGAGGCCTGGGTAGTGATTTAGTTGCGATGAC